TTTATTCTCATATTGCTTTCATATCGTTGCTTTCACTGATTATCATCACTGATCAGTTGTTCAGCAACACTCAGTGATGAGTATTGTTGCAAGCAAGCGATTCAAATCTACAGTAGTGATCACATGAAGATGTTTGTATATGTTAACGGTGCTAACCCCATATCAGTATTAGCCCAACCAATAAGTGAATGTGTTGGTGTTGCAAAGATGACCGCACCAGACGGTTTCTCAAGCAACACAATGGTTTCGGCCGAAACGCCGAGCACACACGTAACTCGTTGATTGGTCGAGTGATCATGCACATCGACAAGCCACGAGAGCGCGCCTCGTATACAGTCACCAATGAGCAACGGTCGAGGAGTGACTCGTTCTTTCCGCTTCACAGAACCACCAAGGAATCGACCTGAGCAAGTTTAACATTGCACTTCAACATCTAGATTTAGCGAACGTAAAAGGTGGATGGATGGATGTCTCATCGCTGATTGCAATACTGAAATGAATAGGCTGCTTTAAGTCGAGTGCACGCAACAGTGCATGCAGAAATGATCATGATCAATTGCAGATCAAGTACAACATTGCTGATTGAGCATTGTTATTGTTATTGTACAGCAAAGTCAACGTTAGAATACTTGAAACTGAGACTTGAATACTTGGTTGAATTGGGACAGCTGGAGCGAATTAAAGTTCAGCTGGGAGTTAAAGTTTTATTGTGAATATAATTTTGCTTTTTAAAATTGCAGGAACTGTTTCGGTTCATGGAATTAATTGCATTTGAAAAGTTTGAACTACTTATTGAANTTATTGAATGATTTGAGAGGAAGAGTTGAATCTAGACGGCGTGAATAATCTATTGAAGCGAGCTGAAAGTCTAGCTGTTATCAACTTACTAGCAATACGTGCAGGTCCATCATTGGGATGTGCCGTTACGAAGTTCTCAGTCAACTCTTTCAACGCTTCACGTCGTGTTCTTGCGGCCATTGCGGCAAATTTCTTCGATCGATGCACAGCATTCTCGCCATTAATTACTGCAATTTCAACTGGCTGCTACTATTTTGAATGTATAACCTGCTAAGCGATCAATGCATTTCGATCCATTTGAATATTGAAGAAACGAATCCAAGAAGATTACACAAAGCGTGTTATTTGAATGAGTGCTTGATGAAGTGAATAGCATTTTATTATAATAGGAATTTTGACAATTTCCATGTAAGTGTATTGAAACAAACTTTTCGTTAATAAAAAATCATGGAATTGAGAGCATTTCGAATATGTTGCACCAGTAGGCAACGGTGGCCCGAACGATGGTACATCTTTGGCTCGTGAAACAGCAACTCTACAAGACAAATTATCAAATATATGTTCGAAGCAACAACTTTATCTCTCAACAGCTTTGATCTATCAAATTTTGGTGATGATCAAAAGCGATAGATGTGATATACTGATGTGAGCATCCTTATGCATCAAGCCAATATGCAGTGTGACAGTAAATTGTTTTGAGGTACATTTCCAAATGCAACAGAAGAATAAACATAAAAGAAGAAGATATAATTCA